AAGTTTGGTTTCTCTTCTCCGATGATTCAAATTGCATCAGTTTTTTCTGTGCCGTACAAACATTTGATTTTTAAGCATGCTCATGTTATACTACATAGGCTCAAGAAGATCTAAGGTAATATCAATAAGATTTACAGAATCATCTGTAATAATATAATAATAATATAAAAATGTTAAGATTTTGTTGTTGTGAGACACTTGGAGAAACTATTCAACATGTAGGTGCTTTAAACATATCAGCATTTAAAAGACACTCTCATTCTCATAACTGTCCAAATGATTGAGATAGAGCAAAGTTTTGATGCATTACGAGTGAAAAGATGACCGTTCTTTGTACAGATGTCTTCAGCTATTTTGACATCATGTATGACAACATTTTTAACTTACAAATTGTTGTATTATTTACACTTAATCTGGAGTACTGATTATAAGGAAGCTAGTCTACTGCATGTAAAACATTTTAATCATAGTTATTTACACTAATGGATAAATGTAACATCATATATTATACAAATATAAACTATATAGATGTCAGGTTCACTTAAATTAATCCTATTTGTATTAGCACAGATGAACAAGAGAAAAGTGGAACAATTTGTGGAAACTGTTTAAAGATTCATGAAATTGGGATGTTATGCATCATACTAATCAGAGTAACAACTTGTCTGTACAGGTCTCATAATCAGAGTAACAACTTGTTTCTACAGGTCTCACTAATCAAAGTAACACCTTGTCTGTACAGGTCTCATAATCAGAGTAACAACTTGTTTCTACAGGTCTCACTAATCAGAGTAACACCTTGTCTGTATAGGTCTCCAAGGCCTTCACTAACCAGAGTAACACCTTGTCTGTACAAGTCTCATAATCAGAGTAACATCTTGTATGTACAGATCTCACTAATCAGAGTAACACCTCTGGTTTATACTACTAGAGATTAGTGGAGAAAGACACTCCTACATATCCCAGCACAGTAGCACACTGATATCTACTGAATGGGCAAGGGCTGTCCTAGTCCAACCATAGTTTATATGGCAGCTTGTGCCAGTGATGCCTATACCCAGATTTAGTTTTAGAAGAGAGAAAAAAGTGTCATTGTCTGTGAAATGTTGTGTTACTATAAAGGGAAGTGCCCTTACTTTACCATGCAATAATGTAAATTTGAACTAACAGCTCAACAAGTCCAAGATAGGCAACACAAGCAGTTAAGGCTACCACAACAGCCCAAGTTGAGCATGGCCACCAAAGTAAGGGAGTGGCAGTCGGCCGAGCTCTGTCACAGCTGGGTGGAGCTTGGTATGTGCCTGTAATGGTCAAAGGGCAACAGATTGAGTTCCTGATATACACAGGAGCAACCAAAAACTGATAGTTTGTTAGCTAGTTTGTTGAATTTTGTGCAAAGCTTTTTGAGGGTTATCTGCACTAGATGTCACTAATATAGAAGTGATAGACTGTAGGGAATGCCACTAGTCAACGCTACTCATCCAAAATGCTTGGGCTACTCTTTTACTGAAGAAAAGTCGGATTGATCATCACATTATAATGCCCCACACTACTAAAAGGATGAGTATG